TCTCCCCTTTAACTATGGTTTAATTATGGTTAGGGTAAACCCTAGTTGTCTTCAAACCACGGTTGGATGTAGGGCTGCAAACCGTGGTTAGCTGATTCACATTAGCCATGGCTAGCTCCATACACAATGATGAACTAGTATTAGGGTAAACTCAAGTTGCCTTAAACTGTGGTTTGAAGGAGGTTGCGAATCGTGGTTACCTGGTTCTTGTTAACCATGGCTAGCTTCAAGATGAACACTACACTGAACCCTAGTTACCATGAAACTATGGTTTGAAGTTGAGTTGCAAACCATGGTTACCTAGTTTGTGTTAATCCTGACTACCTTCAAGACAGACGCACAACATTAAATGGAGTGTATCAGTTCTTCCATTATTGTATTATTGTTCATTTCCAAACCAAGGACTAAGTTATTCTGCTTCCAGATGTTACCAGGGCATTTCGGATGTAACATTCTTGATCTCCAAATGTACACACCTGGAAACGCATCCCACTGAGCCGAATACAATTTGACCACTGGGGATTATGGCCCATCATTCCCATGTCCCATATATCTTTCCAGCTGCCGGACACAGGTTCAGAGAAGACCACCCCAGCCCAAGAGGTCAGAGCTATCCTGACTTATAGCTTGAACCTGAGATTTTCCTGCCCACAACACCTGTGGTACCTGTGAAAACATGGTCCCAGGGAGCTTAAATGGCAGTATATGACCTGGCATTATATGAGGGATCAGAGCAGTGTTAGCCATTGATGGCAGTGGAGTGAGGTTATCCGCTTGGGGTTTTAGTCGGAACTGTAAAGTTTTTTTAATTAATTTATTTATTTTTGCCTAAGGTGCTGGTCCAATGTTGGAAAAACAGCTCACCAGGGTGGTTGGCTCCTGTAAAGTTCATGAGGAAACCCACATAGGATACTCTGACCTCCCACCCTTTAACGATGCACAAAAAAGTGCCACGGAAAAAGAATAATGGCATGAACCACAATAGCAGATCTCCCTTTCTCTGCCTCAACACACACAAATATTATTGGATAATCTAGCAGATGTGCTATTATCAAGAATTGTACACACTCCCCACCCAAAAAAACTGGACAGATACTTCCTCAATGCACAGGCATCTATATGCTAAATCCTCAAAAGTGGGGGGGAATGCAGTTTTTTGCCCCCACAACAAAGTCTAGATATAGTGAGCATGCTAGAAACACACTGGAATGGAGGGACCTTGTGGAGTGTGGTCATTGCTACACAAATATTGAAAAAAACAATGCAGACAGATACAACCTCATTGTGGATTACCTTCACTGGATTTCTGGGTTGCCCTAAATTTTTCAATATCCTAAATGGCCATGCCTTACAAACAGCTGGCCGTAGAACTGGCCAAAGAGGACACAGCCCTGGATTTAATCTTAAGGAGTTACCCACCTCCCGATACAAGACGTAAATGCTGTTCAGCTTCCTTACCATGAAATCCAATGTCTATGGAGGTGGGGAATGGCCAAGTCCCATCACAGTCTTCCCTGACACCATAAAAATAAATTTCTTTCTTTCTTTTTTTTTTTAAATGTGAGAAAGTTGGAAAGAACAAGTTAAGGAAAGAAATGCTTGCAAGTTTACAAAAGGCATGGGCATTACAGTGGTGCCTCGCTAGACAATGATAATCCGTTCCACTGAAATCACTGTTTAGCGAAATCATTGTCTAGCAAAAAGCATTTCCCCATTGGAATGCATTGAAACCTCTTTAATGCGTTCCAATGGGGAAGTATCGTTGTTGTCTAGTGAAGATCGGCCATAGGAAAGCTGCTTTGCGAACCTCCGAACAGCTGTTTAAATAGCTGTCTTGCGAAGCTTAGGTCCCGAGAACACCCACTGTGCGAGCACACAGGGAGCTGTCAAAATCATTGTCTAGCAAAAATTGGTTTGCGAAGCAGGGACCAAACATTGTCCAGCGAAATTCCCCCATAGGAATCACTGTTTTGCGAATCGCTATAGCAATTGCAAAAAGTCAATGTCTAGCGAAAAAACTGTCATGCGGGGTAACTGTCTAGCGAGGCACCACTGTAATAACAACCAAAAATGCAATCAGTCAATCAATCAATCAATCAATCAATCAATCAATCAATCAATCAATCAATCAATCAATCAATCAAGGAACTGTTTAAAAATTAGGTCCTGTATTTGCTCCAGTGGACAGAAGGTGTAAGCAGAGATGATCTGAGGTTATTCACAGGGGCAATTAATTTAAAAAGGTATTTAAATCACAGCAGATAAACAGAGAACAAGATTGATGAAATGAAGACGCAATAGAAAAGAAATCAAAGGAGAATCAATGAATTTCTAACCCAATATGACGCAATAGTGAAATAAAAAGTGGTAAGCAGAATGAGCTGCTTTGAAATTACAGCTCGTATACAAAATTAGCCACAGTTAGCCCTTTATAAAACACTATTGCCCCTAAGTCCCGAGAAGATACCAGCATGGCTAAATAGCCGTGTCACAAGATGCTTCTACAGCCCATTAAATAAAATACTGTTAAAGTGGCCTTCCATGTTTTCTTCCTTAAATGATGTTGGAGGAGAAAGAAAAAGACAGGCAGAAAGAAAAAGGAAGGAAAAGAAAAGAAAGAAAGGGAAAGGGAGAGAAGGAAGGAAGGGAGGAAGGAAGGGAGGGAGGGAGGAAGGAAGGAAGGAAGGAAGGAAGGAAGGAAGGAAGGCGCTGATTATGGATAAAAGGAAGGAAGGAAGGAAAACATTGGCATCAATATCCTAAAATTCTGTGAATAAGACAGAGAAATTGCTCGAGAAAAAAGTCTTTCCTGAACCAAGGAAGTCAGAAATGAGAAGGTGGCCCATTTTAAAAGAAGTTCTTGTTCTAGCGCACATAATGTGAAAGACCAACGTTTCTAGAAAAGCACATTTAAGTTGACGATCAAGCTAGCAACCCAAGGACTGGGGCTCTACCTCATTCCAATTTTCTAGCGCAACCAGCAGTTAAAAAAATTATTTCAGCACGCCAAAACTGGAAGTGTTAGACAACAAGCGGCTTAAGTTGGGCGGTAAACGAATCGGCGTCTGTTTCTGCCGGAAGAGAAGATGTAGATATAACGCCCGAATTTCTTTTCAGTACGCCAGTCTGAGGCATTGAGTCAAATAAAGAAGACAAAGAGGTGACGCTTGAAGGTTCCTTGGCGTGTCACGTTAAAAACGGACACGTGAGTCGCACGGGCGACAAAAACGAGGACAGCAGGACTGGAAAGCCGCCAAACCCGCACGAAGTCCAGCTATCTATATTCTGAGTGAACTGATGGAATGTGTTCAGGGTCTCTGCCATGAAATAGCCTGTCAGATTAATCTTTACAAGTTCTCCGAGAGGGTCCACCAACGTGTGGACAGAGCCAATGTGATCGAGCTTTGCAGATTGGGCCGTTTCAAAAACGCTTGGGGCCTGAATCCACTTCTGAAGTTTCCTTGGCGAATTTTGCAATTACGAATTGGCCGGCCCTACTGTTAGGTGTCGTGATGGAGCTGCTACAGCCACCTGGTTTGGAGCGTTGAGAAAGAGCTATTGCTTTGAGAAATAGCTATTGCCATTTTATATCAGCTTTTTGTGACTCCACTCTTACTCTCAGGGAAAAGGAAGAAGCACCTGAGGAATTTTCTGCCAACATAATTTTGGATGGCGTGCAAACTGGAGGGCAGAAAAATGCAATTGCTGCTAAGCCCCAATCCCAAAATAGCTCAGGTCTACCTCAAGTCATGGGATGATTAAAAAGAAAAATAGGCTATCTGATTAAAAAAAAAATAAGGTATCTGATGGACGGATCACTTGTTAAAAACCTTGAAGCAAAGAGGGAAAGGAAGTCTGGCGCTTTATGAGTTTTTTGGATTTGAGAGTTAGGACAGAGAAAGGCGATCGCTAGTTTTGTTCACTGCACCTAGCTAATGTAGTAAAAGCAAAAGTGGACTACGTTTTTAAAAAAGGGAAATGGGTTCATTGTAAATGTAAAGCCCAGTGACCCATCTACGTGAAGTGGTTGTCAGCTGGTGGTCAGCATCAACAATAAAGATTTTTAAAAAATAAAATTGATTTAAATTTTTAAAAATGATTTTTTTTAAAAAAATTAAATCACATTTTTTAAATTTGTGATTTAAACCCATCTTTAAAAATGATTTTTTTAAAAAAATTAAATCGCATTTTTTAAATTTGTGATTTAAACCCATTTAAGTCAATTTGATTTAAATCGAATCCACCCTGCCATTTTGTTTTTCCTTCTGTCTGGGGAGAGACACCGGGAGGCCACGTGCAGGCAGATTTGCTACAAAGACTAATGAGCAGGTTGCAACCTTCCAGAATTGTTTTGAGCCTGAGATGAAAGCCTGAGAACCAACAATGTGGCAGTGAACAGGGTGATAAATTAGCATTTAGAAGACCTGGATTCGAATCCCGGTGCAGGCATGGAATCTCCCTGCGAGAGTAGAAATCGTAAAACATTTCTCAAATACCTCCCAGACCTTGAAAATCCCGTGTGGGTGCCATACATCTGGAGAGCCATGATGGCACGCAACATACACACCGGTCCAAGGCCTGGTCCCTCCACCGTAGCCACAGCTCCGATGCTCGGTGAAAAATCAAGAAAAGGAGCTTGGGAGTACAACAACAAGTTAAATAAAAATTGCCACCCCTGCAGAGGCAGGAAACCTTGTTATTTCATTTTTGGACTACAATTCCTACGATCCCCTGGCCAGCCATGCTGGGTGTGGGAGTTGTAGTCCGAAGAAGATGGAGAAGAGGGCAATCAACATGCAGGGTGGTTGCATGAAAGACAGAAACGGTTTATTTTCCGTTGCTTATTCCCTTAGGTGTGGACATGAACATTCGAGCACTGAATCTTTACAGGGGCTTCTCCAACCAACTTCACCTTCAAAAGGCAAAAAATTAAAAAGGGGCAAAGAGGGAGTATCAAAGGCCTCTCTCAATGTTCAAGAGGGTTGCATGAAAAGGGATACATCCGTAGCATGGCGCGAAGGTGCGCTTGTTCCACTCAGCCACGTGGCCTTCTGGCAGGAAAAAGGCCATGTTTGTGCCAAGCACGTGCTCACCCACCTTGGTGGCTGGTTTATGGAAGGAGTGGTTCTGGAGCTTAAAGAGGGCACTCTGTACATGCTCAAAAGGCATATTCCCCCTTGATGGTAGGGAACAAAAATCGGCCGATAGGGGCTCAGTCAACGGTGCGCCCCCGAGCATGGGTACCCTCATAAATCAGGAAACGGCGCTGTAATCTGTGTCACGCTCCACACGCAGAAGGTGCAAAGGCACTGTTACATCTCTCCCCTCAGGGCTCTCTCTGTCTGTCTTTTACACACTCAAATCCTGGCAAATAGTAAATAAAAAGACTGGGTCTAATGGTTATAGGGTTAGACTGGGCTCACATCTCTACACGGCTAGGAAGCCTACCAGATGACCTTGACTATCAGCTATTCTTGGCCCTGCAGGCCATAAAGTTATCTACTCCCTGCTAACTCGCTAGCCGTCCGTACATCTTGTGGCAATGAGTTCCATGCCTGCAAAAAGGGGAGCTGTTCAGACCTCACTTCCTTTTGTCTGTACAAAATCCCCCACCATTCGTAGGACCACGGAATAATATTGTAGAATTAGCCAAGGAGGCTATCTGTTGGTGAACTGCTCTTGCCTTTAGTACATTCTTTTCTAACATTTAGTCTCTTTTCTTGCAATTCGAACCCACTACTTTGGGTCCAGCAGGGAGTTCCGGGAGTTGCAACCCAAAACAGTCGACCCTTTCCAAGGTCTTGCTTTGGTGGGTGGGCGTTTAAGGGGCAGAGAGAGAGAGAGAGAGGCTTATACCCTCTTCTCTGACTTTAGCAGGAGTCTCTAGTGCCGGATGAGAGCGCTTGTGTTCAAAGGTCTCGGGTTCAATCCCAGTTCAAAGGATCAACGAAGACTGCAGCCAAGAAACTAGAAGAAAAGATGGAGACTCGGAAGGGCAGCCGTGAAGGAATTAGAAAAGATCATCAAGTGTAAGGATGTGTCGCTGGAGACCAAGACCAAGATCATCCACACATCAGCCTTTCCGATTACCACGTACGGGTGTGAAAGCTGGATAGGAAGGAAAGCGGACAGCGGGGGAAAATTGATTTGTTTGGCATGTGGTTATAGAGGAGAGCTTTGTGGATCCACTAGCCTTCCAGAAAGCTGAACAAGGGGGTCCTAGAGCAAATCATGCCTGAACTCTCTCTGGAGGCAAAAATGTCCTCCTTTGGGCACCTCATGAGAAGGCAGGATTCTCTGGAGAAGACCCTCATGCTGGGAAACGGTGGAAGGCAGCAGGAAAGGAGGAGGACCCCATACGAGATGGAGGGGCTCCCTCAAGGAAGCCCCAGGCTTGAGTTTGCAAGAGGTGAACACGGAGTCTTGAGGACGGGGCATTTTGGAGACTGGTAAATTCCAACTTAAACAGGTAGATATAAGGAAGGGTCAGAAGACAGATGGAGCCCAGTCATTCCTAAAATGACCTTCCTTCCCATGTTAGACCACAACACCCATCATCCTCCATGGCCCTGAGGAGTTATTCCACCTTTAACCTCATTTAGCGCACTCCGTCTCGAAGCAAGGAATACAGATCGTGTATCAACGTCTAGCCAATGTCTTCGTGAAAACCTCTCAGCCCAGTGCGCGAAAAACCCAAGTCGGACAGCTGTGTGGTTTGGGGGGGACGATGGGAGCTGTAGTCCGGGGACATCTAGCGCGGGAAGTGGGGAGGGTTGGCTTTAACTTTGGGTGTGTCAAATTCATCCTGCTGTTGTTGGGTTTGATTGATATCCTTCCCCCCCCAGGTTCTTTTCTCTCCCACCCCACCCATGGGGGCCATGGGGGGGGGCGAGATGCCTGCTGATCTCGGCATGTCAAAAAAATCGCTGGTGTGTGCTGATCTCTGTCTCTCTGTCTCCATCACCTTGGGAGATATTTTGTGTGTGTGTGTGTGTGTGTGTGTGTGTGTGTGTGTGTGTGGTTTTCTCCTGAAAAAGCATATTGCAAAACACACACATGCACATACAGAGAGGTAGAGGCCCGATCCTTCCGTGTCTCAAAACCCCATTTGCTTCCTCCTTATTCTCCTCTCTGGAAATTTTTTTTTTAAAAAGAGAAGAGATAAAACCCGCCCAGGCACCCTTTGATTGGAGATGAAATAAGAAGAAGGAGACCGTAGGGTGACAACAGGAAGCGGAGAGCAGGGGTGAGGTGCAGG